TGGGATCAGGGCTTGGGGGTTTGACTTGGGACAGGTAGGGTGGTGACTTGGCCCTCACAGGACTGGAGCAGGTGGCACAAAGTGTGTGTAGCAGGCTCAGGGGTGCAGCGGGGTGCTGGGAGAGGCGGTGTTTGGTGTTGGTGTGTGTGAAGATGGAAGGGGGGACAAAAGGGCCTGGGGAGAAGGATCTGAGGGAGAAAGACAGGATCTGAGGGAGGAGGTGAGGGTCTGAGGGAGGAAGTGAGGTCCTGAGGGAGGAGGTGAGGGCCTGAGGGAAGAGGTGAGGGCCTGAGGGAGGAGGTGAAGGTCAGAGGGAGGAGGTGAGGGCCTGAGGGAAGAGGTGAGGGCCTGAGGGAGGAGGTGAAGGTCAGAGGGAGGAGGTGAGGGCCTGAGGGAAGAGGTGAGGGCCTGAGGGAGGAGGTGAAGGTCAGAGGGAGGAGGTGAGGGCCTGAGGGAAGAGGTGAGGGCCTGAGGGAGGAGGTGAAGGTCAGAGGGAGGAGGTGAGGGCCTGAGGGAAGAGGTGAGGGCCTGAGGGAGGAGGTGAAGGTCAGAGGGAGGAGGTGAGGGCCTGAGGGAAGAGGTGAGGGCCTGAGGGAGGAGGTGAAGGTCAGAGGGAGGAGGTGAGGGCCTGAGGGAAGAGGTGAGGGCCTGAGGGAGGAGGTGAAGGTCAGAGGGAGGAGGTGAGGGCCTGAGGGAAGAGGTGAGGGCCTGAGGGAGGAGGTGAAGGTCAGAGGGAGGAGGTGAGGGCCTGAGGGAAGAGGTGAGGGCCTGAGGGAGGAGGTGAAGGTCAGAGGGAGGAGGTGAGGGCCTGAGGGAAGAGGTGAGGGCCTGAGGGAGGAGGTGAAGGTCAGAGGGAGGAGGTGAGGGCCTGAGGGAAGAGGTGAGGGCCTGAGGGAGGAGGTGAAGGTCAGAGGGAGGAGGTGAGGGCCTGAGGGAAGAGGTGAGGGCCTGAGGGAGGAGGTGAAGGTCAGAGGGAGGAGGTGAGGGCCTGAGGGAAGAGGTGAGGGCCTGAGGGAGGAGGTGAAGGTCAGAGGGAGGAGGTGAGGGCCTGAGGGAAGAGGTGAGGGCCTGAGGGAGGAGGTGAAGGTCAGAGGGAGGAGGTGAGGGCCTGAGGGAAGAGGTGAGGGCCTGAGGGAGGAGGTGAAGGTCAGAGGGAGGAGGTGAGGGCCTGAGGGAAGAGGTGAGGGCCTGAGGGAGGAGGTGAAGGTCAGAGGGAGGAGGTGAGGGCCTGAGGGAAGAGGTGAGGGCCTGAGGGAGGAGGTGAAGGTCAGAGGGAGGAGGTGAGGGCCTGAGGGAAGAGGTGAGGGCCTGAGGGAGGAGGTGAAGGTCAGAGGGAGGAGGTGAGGGCCTGAGGGAAGAGGTGAGGGCCTGAGGGAGGAGGTGAAGGTCAGAGGGAGGAGGTGAGGGCCTGAGGGAAGAGGTGAGGGCCTGAGGGAGGAGGTGAAGGTCAGAGGGAGGAGGTGAGGGCCTGAGGGAAGAGGTGAGGGCCTGAGGGAGGAGGTGAAGGTCAGAGGGAGGAGGTGAGGGCCTGAGGGAAGAGGTGAGGGCCTGAGGGAGGAGGTGAAGGTCAGAGGGAGGAGGTGAGGGCCTGAGGGAAGAGGTGAGGGCCTGAGGGAGGAGGTGAAGGTCAGAGGGAGGAGGTGAGGGCCTGAGGGAAGAGGTGAGGGCCTGAGGGAGGAGGTGAAGGTCAGAGGGAGGAGGTGAGGGCCTGAGGGAAGAGGTGAGGGCCTGAGGGAGGAGGTGAAGGTCAGAGGGAGGAGGTGAGGGCCTGAGGGAAGAGGTGAGGGCCTGAGGGAGGAGGTGAAGGTCAGAGGGAGGAGGTGAGGGCCTGAGGGAAGAGGTGAGGGCCTGAGGGAGGAGGTGAAGGTCAGAGGGAGGAGGTGAGGGCCTGAGGGAAGAGGTGAGGGCCTGAGGGAGGAGGTGAAGGTCAGAGGGAGGAGGTGAGGGCCTGAGGGAAGAGGTGAGGGCCTGAGGGAGGAGGTGAAGGTCAGAGGGAGGAGGTGAGGGCCTGAGGGAAGAGGTGAGGGCCTGAGGGAGGAGGTGAAGGTCAGAGGGAGGAGGTGAGGGCCTGAGGGAAGAGGTGAGGGCCTGAGGGAGGAGGTGAAGGTCAGAGGGAGGAGGTGAGGGCCTGAGGGAAGAGGTGAGGGCCTGAGGGAGGAGGTGAAGGTCAGAGGGAGGAGGTGAGGGCCTGAGGGAAGAGGTGAGGGCCTGAGGGAGGAGGTGAAGGTCAGAGGGAGGAGGTGAGGGCCTGAGGGAAGAGGTGAGGGCCTGAGGGAGGAGGTGAAGGTCAGAGGGAGGAGGTGAGGGCCTGAGGGAAGAGGTGAGGGCCTGAGGGAGGAGGTGAGAGTCTGAGGGAGGAGGTGAGGGCCTGAGGGAAGAGGTGAGGGCCTGAGGGAGGAGGTGAGGGTCTGAGGGAGGAGGTGAGGGCCTGAGGGAGGAGGTGAGGGCCTGAGGGAGGAGGTGAGGGCCTAAGGGAGGAGGTGAGGGTCTGATGGAGGAGGTGAGAGTCTGATGGAGGAGGTGAGGGTCTGAGGGAGGAGGTGAGGGTCTGAGGGAGGAGGTGAGGGTGTATTTGGAAGGAATAGACAGTGGAGGTCAGTTCTGAGGGAGGAGATCAGAGGCTCTGAAGGTGGGAGCCTGGCGTAAGGAAGGAGGCCTTTGTGTGTTTGCAAAGGACGACAGGAGTCCCCTCCCACCATTGGGTCCCAGGAATCAAACTTGAGTCCTCAGGCTTGGCAGCAAGCCCCTTTCCGCACTGAGCTGTCTTGCTGGCTCAAAGGAGCAGTTTGAGGACCACCCTTGGGGGAAGGGGGGAGGTCCAGCGCCTGGGGACCCCGTGGAAACAGAGGGGAGGGAAAGGGAGGGAGTCCTGGAATGAGCCCCGCCCTGCAGCTGTCTCGGATTTCCCAGAATGTTCAGCGGCTTAGGAAAGCCCCAGCTCCCACAGCAGCCTCCCCTTCAGTGTCGGGAACGGAGGATGCGGAACCAGGATGGCCACCCCCCTGTTTCCCCCCTGGCTTTTCAAACCCCAGGCGGGGAGGACTAGGGTCTCTCCTCTAAGACTGCAGCTTTGGAGGGCCCCACCCACTGGCAGGGGCGGCCCCTGGATGAGTCCCAAAAACTTCCCAGAGAGGACTGGGAAGTCCTGCTCGCTGTCTAACCACTTTCCCTCATATGAACAGCTCTTTGTCTCTGAATCTTCTTCCTCCTGCTTCTTCCTTAATTTCTCCCAGGGAGGAGAAGGGGGTCCCCAGGGAGAAACAAAGGGGACATGGGCCTTGATCCCCCTTCCAGTTAGGGAGGCAGAGTGGAGTTCACCTCATTCGCTCTCAGTTTTTCAGCTTTGTGCCGCTTTGTTTCTGAGGCCTGGGTGCAAATCCTACCATCTGCACTTTAGTGTGTGACTTCCAGAGTTGACCTGATTCAGCCTCGGTCCTCTCATTTGCTAAGTGGACCAGTTCAAGAAAGCACGTGTGTTGTCCCCCGGTTCTCCCCCCCCCCACACCTTTAAAAGTGTACGTGTACATTTGGGTGTTTATATGCCTCCACCTCCGGGGCTGTTCTTCGGTGTCAGTGGCATCCACCGTTTTCATTTTTGACACAGTCTTTCACTGCCCTATGACCCCCTGATTGGGCTGGGTTAGCAGAGCAGAGGCCACCCAGTTCCAATTTCCTAGTGTGGGAATTACAGCTGGTGCCACACCACAACGAGTGTTTTTAATGTGTGGGTTTTTTTTTTGTTTGTTTGTTTGTTTTTTGTTTTAATTGAACTCAGGTCCTGTGCTTGGCAGAGCAAGCACTTTACTCTGTGTAGACCAGGCTGGCCTCAAACTCACAGAAATCTGCCTGCCTCTGCCCCCTGAGCTCTGGGATTAAAGGTGTGCGCCACCATGCAAACACTTTGTTGATAGCTCTTTCTCCCTGTGTGTTGGCATCTCCTCCATCTGTCAATTTGTTTGAGTCAGGGACTTCCTATGTAGCTCAGGCTGGCCTCAGCCTCTCCTTCTGCTGAATCTCCTGAGTGCTGAGATTTCAGACACGAGCCATGGGCCACCATGCTGTTTTGTTTTTTGTTTGTTTGTTTTTGACAGGGTTTCTCTGTGTAGCTTTGGAGCCTGTCCTGGAACTCTCTCTGTAGACCAGGCTGGCCTCGAACTCACAGAGATCCCCCTGCCTCTGCCTCCCGAGTGCTGGGATTAAAGGTGTGCGCCACCATCGCTGGCTACTTTGTTTGTTTGTTTGTTTTAAAGATTTTATTTATTTATTATGTACACAACATTCTGCTTCCATGTCTATCTGCACACCAGAAGGAGGCACCAGATCTCATAACGGATGGTTGTGCGCCACCATGTGGTTGCTGGGAATTGAACTCAGGACCTCTGGAAGAGCAGTCGGTGCTCTTAACCTCTGAGCCGTCTCTCCAGCCCTGTTTGTTTGTTTTTAATTTTAGTTTGTGGATATATTTGTTTTGTGTTTGTGTGAATGAGTGCTTTGCCTACATGTGTGTCTGTGTACCACGTACATATTGGGTGTGCAGGTCAGAAGAGGGCATCAGATCACTGGAGTGACAGATGGCTGTGAGCTGCCATGTGGGTGCTGGGAACTGAAGCCAGGTTCGTTGCAAGAGCAGACAGTGTGCTCTTAACTGCTAGTTGACCCTCCAATTGCTTTGCTGTTCTTCTGATGTAAATTGCTATGCAGTTGTAGCTGGGACTTGCTATGTAGTCCAGGCTGGACCCAAACTATGCATCAGTTTCCTAAGTGCTGGGATTGCCTGTGTGTGTTGTCCTGCCTGGCCACACTGCTTGCTTTAACTCTTTTTTTTTTTTTTTCCCCCGAGACAGGGTTTCTCTGTGTAGCTTTGGAAACTCTCCTGGCACTTGCTCTGGAGTCCAGGCTGGCCTCGAACTCACAGAGATCCCCCTGCCTCTGCCTCCCGAGTGCTGGGATTAAAGGCGTGCAATGCCACCAATGCCCGACAGGAACAATTAAAATGGGATGGGGGACGCCGGGAATTGAACCTGGGACCTCATGCGTGCAAAGCAGGAGCTCTACCACTGAGCTACATCCCCACTTGCCTTAACTCTTACCTGAGCTGCCAGGCTTTCTTGCCACCTTTTATGCACATGAGGCAGAAAGGGCTTCTTTATTCTGGTCAAGGTTGCATTAGAGTCAGCCCACTTAATCTCAGCCACGCTTGGTGAGGAAATTCACCTGCTAGTTCTACAACCTGGGGTTATAGCTGTGTTGGCACAGTGCTTTCCCAGGGCCATATCAACCTGTCAAGGTGACATAGGCCTGCAATCCCAATACTCCCAAGGCAGAGGGTGTGTGTGTGTGTGTGTGTGTGTGTGTGTGTGTGTGTGTGTCAGAAATTCAAGGTCATCCTCAACTACCTTATGAAATCCCAGGCCATCCTGGGCTACAGGGGACCCCATCTCAAGATGAAATGAAAATACAGTAGATTCCCTGTTGAAGTTGCTTCCCCAGCTCACACCACAAGGAACTGAAAGGAGTAGGGCTTTAAGCAGGGGTTCCCATGGCCCTGGTACCATCTCCAGCCTGCTGAGTTGGTCAGGTAGCCCTCAGCCCCAGAGGATACAAACCAGCTTTAATTCTCAGCCCCCACCCTCTGAGAAGGAATGGTTTGGATGGAGAAACTGAGGCATGGAAGGGAGAAGTTATGGGTTTGGGGTCACCTGCAGGGACCTGACAGCACATTCCACTCCTTGCAGCTTGAAACAGGGAGGGGCGAGTAGGTGGACAGGGGTGGACCATAGCAACAAGAAGGAATGGAGTTAGACTTCAGACACATGACAAGCAAGAGCCTGGATAAAGAGATAGCTAGGAGCCTTCTCTCTGGGTTCTTGGCTAGACATCCGACCTGGGTCCACTAGGATGCCCTGCCCCCAGGGGTGAATGCAGGCCAGCTTCCTGGAGCAAGGTCTGGACCTCCTGGCTCCTCCCCTGGGGCTTTGGCAGCTGCCAGGCACTGGGCAGAATCAGCCCGTTTGGGGCTCAGCCAAAGCTTTATCTTCTCTCTCTCTCTCCTGGGTCTGCACGAAGGAGCTGAGTCAAGGCGTTGCGACATCTGGTTTGTTCTCTCTGCTGCCTGGGAGAGTGACACCCCATGCGCCCCTCCCCCAACCACTTTGATCAGCCCGGAGGAACAGGATCAGGGTGTGGGGAGATAGGCACCTGCCCCTCGGTGGGTGGCTGGGTGTCTCAGGAGGTTGGGCGTAGATCAAACGGAGCAGGCAGGCCATGTAATAATGAATGTGGACCATCAGGTCTGCAACTGGAAATGAGACACTGTATCTGTCAGGTTGAGCCAGGCATGGTGGTGCACACCTGTCATCCGAGCTCTTGGAGGCTGAGGCAGGAGGGTCAGGAGTTTGAGGTTAGCTTGGGGGCAAAACAAAACACAACAAAACAAAACAAAAAAACAGACCTACTGGCTTCACATCTGGGTAAATGACTCGTCTCCTCTGAACCTCAGCTTCTTCTTCCTTTACACATTGGGGTAATACACATGTCTTATCAGATGGTTATGAGGGTCCAAAGAGTTCAGCCTCTCTCAGGACAGGCCTGGGACAGTATAAGTTCCAGTCAAAAGTGCCAGGTTGTGGTGGGAAACTCCCATTATCCCAGCACTTGGCAGGCAGAAGCAGGAGCTACAACAGAAAGACCCATCTCAAAAAGGGAAAACAGACAGTCAAAACTCAGAAACCTCAAAAAGCTCTTGAGGTGTGGCTCAGTGGTAGAGTCCCTGCCTAGAATGACCCCAGTGAGGGGCTGGGGTGTGGCTCAGTGGTAGAGCCCCTGCCTAGAATCCCCCAGTGAGGGGCTGGGGGCATGGCTCAGTGGTAGACTGCTTGTCTGGCATATGGATTGTTTTCAAAAGCTTTATTTTGATAGAGTTCTGGCTATGTAAACTAGGCTGGCCTCAAACTCAAAGAGACCCACCCTTGCTGGCTTCTTGAGTGCTGGGATTAAAGGGGTACACCATCTTGCTCAGCAAGACCGTGGTTTTGATTCTTAGCACCAGACAACAAAAAAACAGAGCCGGGCAGTGGTGGCTCACTCCTTTAATCCAGCACTCAGGAGGCAGAGGCAGGTGGATCTCTGTGAGTTCAAGGCCAGCCTGGTGTACAGAGTGAGTTCCAGGACAGCCAGGGCTACCCAGAGAGATGCTGTCTCTAAAACCCAAAACAACACACACACACAACCACACACACACACACACACACACACACACACACACACACACAAGAACTTGTGGCCTTTCTTGGCATGTATGTCCATGAAAACCTATAGTGACAGTGCCTTCAACGCTCACCTAGGCTAGCTCAGGGTACAGTCTTTATAGCCTGTAGTCTGTGCCTGGTGGAGAGAGGTGTGTGACTTCCCACTCCTAGAGGGGTGGCTCTTCTTCTTCTTCTTCTTCTTCTTCTTCTTCTTCTTCTTCTTCTTCTTCTTCTTCTTCTTCTTCTTCTTCTTCTTCTTCTTCCTCTTCCTCCTCCTCCTCCTCCTCCTCTTCTTCTTTTGGTTTTTGGAGACAGGATTTCTCTATGTAACTTTGGAGCCTGCCCGGGAACTTGCTCTTGTAGACCAGGCTGGTCTTAGACTCACAGAGATCCACCTGCCTCTGCCTCCCGAGTGCTGGGATTAAAGGCGTGTGCCACCACTGCCCAGTTAATGGCATTGATTTCTTTTGCTTGGGTGTACGGGTATCCACATATCCCAGTACACATGTCCAAGTGAGTAGATAGATGGCTTTGGGAGTCAGTTCTTCCTTACATACGGGTCCTGGGGATTGAACTCGGGTCTTCAGTCTTGACAGAACACCTTTACCGGCTGAGCCTGCCCACTGGTGCTGTACCTCATCTGTCTTTTGTCTGTCCAGCTTCATAAAAGTACCAAGACTTCAGGTGCCATGTGGCCTTTGGAAACAGGGCTCTGCCTTCTGGGAGTCTGTTCACTTTGGGCCTCAGTTTCCCCCTGAGTCATTGCATACTAGCATGATGACAGTGAGGACTCCATGTGCCATCTGGGAGATTTAATGACTCAGCAGTTACGCCTCTGGCATAGCTGTCTGGTGGAACGGCGCCTCCAGAGAGCATCTTCATCCTTCTATGGGACGATCCACAGCTCTGGTGTCACATGGAGCTGGGTCTGCCCCTTCCTCTGCCGCTGTCTGGCAGCGTGGCCTAGGCAGAACCCTGCCCTGCCCCTCCCAGTTCGTCTGGACGCTGGGATGACTCCTCCTTTCTGGGTAAGGCAAGAGATTGGCAATGGAAAGCCCCCAGGAGCCTGGCACCGTCCACTTTCAGGGACAGTCGGTAGCCAGCTGGTGTCACGGCACCTGTGGGCCATAGGTAAGCAGGGCTGTGCCCCCAGGGAGACTGGGGTGGGGTTGAACAAGGGAAGTCCCAGGCTGGGAATCATGGGATGCTCTCACAGATTCTAGGATTCACCACAAAGGTGGGAGGGGAAGCCCCCAGTCTGGTTCATCTCAGAGAGCACAAGAAAGGAAGCTCTGGGACGAGGGCTGGGGCTCAATTGGTGGGGCGCTGGCCTAGTGTGTAAGAATCCCTGGGTTCTGTCCTCAGAGCCACACAAACCAGGCAAGGTGGCGCAAGCCTTAATCCCAGCAAATGGCCTGGTGGAGGCCAGAGGATCCAGGTCAGCTTTGGCCGCAGAGCCAGCTCCAGGCCAGCTCCAGGCCAGCAAGATGGCTCGGTGGATAAAAGCACTTGCTACAAACCTGAGACCTTAGTTGGTTTGATCTCGAACAAAAAATATACGCCCCAGATTGTCCCCTGACTTCCATACTTATGAGGCACAAGTCTCTCTGTCTGTCTCTGTCTCTGTCTCTGTCTCTGTCTCTGTCTCTCTCTCTCTCTCTCTCTCTCTCTCGCTCTCTCTCTCTCTCTCTCTCTCTCTCGCTCTCTCTCTCTCTCTCTCTCTCTCTCTCTCTCACACACACACACATGTGGGTTTGGAGTCTGTCCTGGAACTCTCTTGGAAGACCAGGCTGGTCTCGAACTCATAGAGTTCTGCCTGCCTCTGCCTCCCCAGTGCTGGCATTAAAGGCATGCGCCACCACTGCCCCGCCAAAGTGAGACTTTTTGAAAAAGAAAAAGGAGGTAGGGGAGAAGGAAAGAGAGAGAGAGAGAGAGAGAGAGAGAGAGAGAGAGAGAGAGAGAGAGAGCACT